TGTTCTAGTTATTTGCAACTTCTGAGACTAAAGGGTACGACCTTGAGGGCTAGCTGATGGATTTAACTTGGGAAGATGTTGCGCCATTTAGAGATGATGATAAAGCTAAAGGTTTTGGAGTCTTTGTATTCAGAGTAAACTTTCTATTGCTCTTAAAGGTACAATACTCTAGTTACTCAGTCTCCTAGCAAATTTGTAATGGGAGCCAGAACCTGTCATATTATTTGAGGTAGGAAGTTAGGTTGGCCTTTAAAATATGTACATGGTGGAAGGAAAAATAAATGAAGGATCTCATTTGGCTTTTAAGTATCAGTGTTCGAAATTTGTAACATTCATGTTCAGAACTGGAAATATACACATGATATGAGGAAAACTTTATTGATACGTTGAACCTTACTGTTTGAGGTAGTTAGATGTTTACTGGAAAGTTGTATTCTGTTCTGCCTTGTGAAATCTAAATATGTTGCATCCATATTGCTAAGTCTGATTACATCATTATTGTGCCTAGTCTATTTGCAAATGCTTGTTGCCCTTCTCCCTATTAAATAGATTCAAGTTCTCCCAGCAATAGTTCTTGATGTTCGTTGTTCTGAAACTGGATTCTAACTGGTCACAACGAACAAGAAATCACGAGGCTAGCATACGAATGCATAGTTTCCGATTTGTGATTGAATAGTCTTGGATTATTATGCATGTCTTCTACAGTATCCCTGGCTACTGCTTCTGCCTACTTTCTTAGTATATATAGTTCCGACTGAGTCTTAGAAGCATAATTGCATAGTTCATGTGAATTGTGATTCAATGGTCTTCAATTGTCTATACATAGCTTATTTTACTAGTTGTGATTCACTTTATTAGCAAAAATTTGTTGATGGAAGCAAGAACCTGTCATTTTTCTTTTTTTGGGTGATGGTCTTGGATTATATAAGCATGGTTGCCTAGGAAATATATACTTGGTACAGGGGAGTAGAGACAGAAAAATTATGTTTATTTAAAATATCAATGTTCAGAATTTGGAAATGTTCAGGTCTGCAAAAAAAAAAAAACCAGTAAGGTAGCTTCATTTGCTTGAGAACTGTGCTATGGTCTAGACTCTACTCTTTTAATTTGAAATATCAATGTTCAGGCCTGCATAAAAGATAGACCCTAAAAAAACCTCGTCTATGTCAGTTGAATGCTTATCTGAAAGCTGAGATGGTGTTGCTTATAATAAGTGATACATAATCATTCCAGTTGCCCTTCTGCCCCACTTCAGTTATGCCCATTTCCAGTGAACAGAAAATACGATATGGACTCCTAGAAGGGAGCTTCAGAATAAGGACTACATCATGGATGAACCCAGAAAATACCTTGTATATGTTGGTTCAATCCTTATCTTAAAGTCGAGTGCCTTATAATAAATGGTTAGTACTCATTTCAGTAGTCCTCCTGTTCCACTCAGTTGTGGCAATGTTCTGTAAGTGGAAAGTATGATATGGGGTGCTAGAAGGGAACTTGAGAATGAATACTACATCGTAGATGAACCCTGAAAATACCTTGCATGTGCCGGTTCAATTCTTATTTGAAAGTTGAGTTGGTGTTGCCTTACAATAAGTAATCAATACTCATTTAAGTTGCCCTTCTGCTCCACTTTAGTAGTCACCATGTTCTGCAAATTGAAAGTACGGTACGGAGTCCTAGAAGGAAATTTGAGAATGTATCATAGATGAACGCAGTAAAATACCTTGTGTCTTGGTTCAATGCTTATATGAAATTTGAGTTGGTGTTACCTCATAATAAGTTATTATAGGTACTCATTTTAGTTGCCCTTCTACTCTACTTCAGTTGTGACCATGTTATGCAAACAGACAGTAATATATGGAGTTCTAAAAGGGAACTTTAGAATGAGTACTATATAAATAGACCCATAAAATACATTTCCATATCAGTTCAGTTCGTACCATGTTATGCAAACAGACACTAATATATAGAGTCCTAGAAGGGAACTTCAGAATGAGTACTATATAAATAGACCCATAAAATACATTTCCATATCAGTTCAGTTTGTATCTGAAGGTTGACTTCGATTTTTCCTATCATAAGATGATTAATTACTCATTCTGGTTGCCCTTCTGCTCTACTTATGTTGGATCATGTTCTGCAAACAGAAAGTAATATATAGAGTCCTAGAAGGGAACTTGAGAATGAATACTATATAAATGGACAGAAAATACATCTTCCATATCAGTTCAATGCTTAATTGAAGGTTGAATCCAATTTTGCTTATCATAAGATAGTTAATTACTCATTCCAGTTGCCCTTCTGTTTTACTGCAGTTGTTACCGTGTTTCATAACCATAAAATACTATATGGAGCCATATAGTGAGATGATTATCTGGAAGTTAGTTATGATTCTGCCTAATAGTGAGATGATCAGTAGCTTATTCTAGTTGCCTTAGTTATGCAATCTGATTCTTAATATGCTTGTCGTGACCTTATTGTTTGAGAAAGTAATATTTCTTGATCATGGACTCATTCAAGTTGCCTTATTATTTCTATGATCATCGACTGATTCGAGTTGCCTTTTGCTCCCTTTGAAATTTGCAATCACGAATTCATTCTGCAAGCTGAAAGTCCTGTCTGGAATCAGTCTTTGGTGAGACTTTAAGAATGAATACTAAGTTTTTTAATGGTAAACCTAAAAATATTCGCTGTACATAATCAGCAAGTTTCATCCAGATTTGCCTAATTATTGAGGTATCATGTACTCTTCATGTTGGTGCTACACAATAATCCATTTGCCATTCGACTCCATTTAAGATACCTCAATTGCACCATTATTCCTGAATTGGAAATCTTGAAGATTCCTCAAAAGGAACTCAAGAATGATAACCTGAGCGTCGGTGTCTAGTTACAAAATTCAAGGATTACATGATAGTGCATGTTTTTTGTTTCAATTACGACTGTAGTCGACTATGACACCACTGCTGAAGTGTATTTGCTTGTCTATGATGCTAATCTTGCTTGTTAAATGGTTGTCATTGCATTCTATGTCTCTCACCTGTCGGGATGATCACACTGGGGAGTTTTTTGGGTGTCACTAAACTGTGTTAGCTCAATTTGTCTTTTGATTTCCTAGAAAGGTGTTGCCGTGAATAGGGTGAAAGTGGTTCCGAGGAGGACGGACTAAAAGCAATATGATGATCCAAGTCTGTTGTCCTGGGTTATATTTCCACGGTGATATCTTTTAAGGGTGCAGCTATGGTTGTTGTCCGCAAGCATTTCGATTTCCTACTTACAATCCAAAATAATTTTACATGTTTGATTCTGGAATCTTGTTAGAACTTGGTTTATCTGAAGATTGAATATTGGCATGTCCCTTATATAGGATTTGAATGCAAAACTATCCCATGCGTGACAAAGACAACGAACAAGTGAGAGCAGGGAAGCTTCCAGTTGCTATGAATTTTTCACCATATGCCCATTTGGACTAGCGTTCTGCAAGTATGATGAACGATAAAATGGCATGGAGTTACTTCAACATCAAGTCCTTAGGTGTGTAACTTTAGTCCCAGACTGTTTGTTCGGACATCATTTTTTGTTTGACAACGATTTTGATCACGTATTTGTGTCCGCTTCTGCCTTATTGTTGAGGTGACCTCTGATCATTCTACTTGCCCTTCTGCTTTTCTCGAAGTACATCGTTGGTGTTGGAAATCCACATAATGAGAGTATCTTATAGAGTCATAGAAAGAACATGGAAAATGAGTGCTCATGATAGATATATCCAGTGGCGGACCCAGAAATTTTTCATAGGGGTGTCCATTTTTTAAAAATAAATTAAATAAAAATAATTGATAATTAATAAAAATAAAATCGTAAATTTGAAAATACCTTACTCGTACAGGTTAAAAAAGTTCATGATTTTTTTTTCATATTCGGAAATAATTGTAGAATACACTTGGTGTCTATAGTGTTAAAAAAAATTGTCTCTATATACCCTATTAGACAATCATTCACGAACTTATCGCGTATTCTATTTGTAAACTTGTTCTCCATGTAACCCAAAGCTGAAAGACTCTTTTAAGGGTAGCTTGAAATTAGTTTAATTGTTAGGTTTTTAAAATAATTAGAGATAGGAAATGACATTTTACTATTACATTTTTCAAAATCAAACAACAAATGAGTTGTAGGTCAACGAAAATTTAGTTTATTAATAATAATAGTGTTCTAGATTTGAATTACCCAATCTATCACTTATATTCCTATACACAAATGACACTATGACAGTAAGATAATCATGTTTTCAAATTTCAGGGGTGTTCCTCACTATCAATTATATTTTTTTTGTCAATACGTAAATTACCACCGGAGGTTGAATAATCGTATTCCCAAAATTTAGGGGTGTCCCCTGGTCCGCCCCTGGATATATCCACATAATATCATGTCCATCTCACAGCTCAATGCTTATGTGAAATTGGATCTGGTGTGATTTTACTCATTCGAGTTGCACTTCTGCTCCATTTCCGGTTCACCAGTCGTGACAGTGTTTCCTAATCTGAAAGTTCTTATGGAGTCTTAGAAGAGAATACGACATCATAGGACCAAGAAATTGCATTGTTTATTGTCAAGATGAATGATTATCTGAAAGTTGAGTTTGAGTACAATGTTGCCATGTAATAAGTGATCAGTAACTCTTGTCCAGTTGCCCTCCTGCTCCACCAAACCATGTTTCGTAATCAGAAAATACAATATTGGATCCCTGGACTGAGTTGAGAATGAATAGTGTGATGCTGGTGCTTTGTTACTTGTTCTTGAAGAAGAGATGCTCCCTGCTTTTCACTTTGTCCTTTTGGGCTTTTGGCGTCATCGTCCTTCAATTATTGGTCTTAGAATAATGAAATCCGCCAACCCAAACGGGAAATTTACTCCACTCCCTCCCTCCCTCACTCTCTAAAGTCCACCCTTGCTGCTGCTTCCCTTTTTTTCTCCTCTGTCACTTTTCACTGTGCCTGAGATCAATGGAGCACCCACCGCCGTCCATCTTCATCTCTCCGGATCCTCCACCTTTCCCCGATTCGGCTTCGGCTTCGGCCTCGGCCGCGGTCTCCCCCAGCCACAGGAGCGTAGACATGGCCCCTCTTGAGTTCGTCCTCGCCTTAATCGCCATCATCACCATCCCTGCCCTCATCTACACTTTTTTCTACTCCATCAAGTGCCCATCCTCCCCCTCCCGCCCCCGATCCCGCCGCCGCCGCGGCGATGCGACCTCCTCCGACGCCGACACCGACGATGCCCCACATCCCGCGGCGCCTCCTCCGCCTGAGAAGCTCCGCGAGGCCGCCGTCAAGTACAGGAAGGAGAGCCACGCCAAGGAGATTGGGAGCGAATGTCCCGTGTGCTTGTCGGTGTTTGCCGACGGGGAGTCGGTGAAGCAGCTGAGCGCCTGTAAGCACTCATTTCACTCGCCCTGTATCGACTTGTGGCTCAATTCGCATGCCAATTGTCCCGTCTGTCGAGCCTCCGTTGCCGTCAAGATTCCTCCTCCTGCGGCGGCGGCGGCGGAGAGCTCTGGAGGGAGGCGGCAGGGAAGGGGTGATCAAGATCTGCATCAGGGGCTTCCCGATGCCGGTAGCTTGGTTTGATTCATCGGATCCAGCATAAACCCAGTTGGTGGTTATAGATAGATTCCCATGTCAGTTTCTTGCTGATCCTGGAAGTTGGGTCCGTTTTTGGCTTATAACAAGTAGATAGACCAGTTTTTACTTATTCCAGTTGCTATTCAAGATTCCCAGCTCGTTGAGGATTCTGAAGGGGAGAATGGTTACTGCAGGATTGGTATCTTATGTCGCAGTCAACTGACCCTCAAGATTCTATTCTGGTTCTACTTACAGGTCCCGATCTCACTTAGTCACTTTATTCATCTGATCAGAAAGCTAAAAGTTGTTGACAGAAGTTGCTATTGAGGTTGACCCTGAACTCAAACGTTCAATATGGAGGTGTCTAAAATAGAGATGCGGTAATGTTATTGGCTCAGTTGTTTTTTGTTCGGAAGATGTTCTGGACTTGTAGTTCCTCTAGAGTGTTATAAGAAGCTAGGTTAGCATTCTACATTGTCCAGTTGAAGTCGTGTAGCTTGAAGATGGAACACCTTGAAGGTGCAACCTCATGTCTCTCGTTGCTGCCAGCTGCTAAGGTTGATCAATGCATTTGAGGTTCTTCGTGGCTTTCTGGATAGCCTTCTTGACTATCATTCTGTTGGCTGTGTATTGCTTCGCATTGTTATGATCCAGGTTGCCTTGTCTTCCTTGGAGGATTTATTGAAGTTGGCATATGGATTCCTTAATCATAGATGAGGAATCTTCTGTGGTGTTGCCCAAGTCAAGGAACCTTTAATATCCATCCGGCATCTGGTTCAGCAACTTATTTTTATCCTGGACCAAGGCATGTTGGTTAAGTTGCAGCCAGCAACTTCTTCTCCATGCTGTCTTGTTAAGTGGCAGTAAACCAGCAATTTCCCATCAGTTTCCATTGGTTTAAGCTAGGAAGATGCCAGCTAATTGTGTGTTTCCCAATCTGTTCAAGTTATTTGCAACTTTTTGTGATTAGATGGTATGGCCTCGAGGGCTAACTGTTGGATTTAACTTGGGAAGATGTGGCAGCCATTTGGAGGTTATGGTAAAGCTATATGGAAAGTTTTGGGACTCTTTGTACTCGGAGCAAGTAACTGTGATGGCCTATCCTTTGACATGGACTGGACTATATGCAAGAGCAGGTTGTTTGACATTATCTACAAGCATCGAGGTCAGGTAGCACATGGAGTAATTTTTCTGCTGTTGCTGCAACAGGTACAATACTCCAGTTACTTAGTTTCCTACCAAAACTGTTAACCGGAGCAAGAACCTGTCATCTTTTTTGGGGAGGAAGTTTGGTATTGGAATTATATACATGGTGGAAGGAATATAGACATGAAGAATCTCTTTTGCTTTTTAAATATCAATGTTCAAAATTTAGTGCAATAATGTTTGGAAAATGAAACATGATGGGAGGCAAACTTCATTGATTCATTGGAACCTTAACGTTTAAGGAAGTAAGATGTTTATTGAAAAGCTGTGTTGGGTTCTGCCTCGTGAAATCTAAATCTGTTGCACATACATATTGCTAAGTTTGCTTACAACATAATTGATCCCTAGTCAAGCTGAAAATGAATAATGTGTTATCAAATTGATTGAAGTTCTCTCAAATATTACTTGATGTCCCCTTCCATATCATTACCGTTGTTCTGAAAATGGATTCTAAATGGTGACAACGAACAAGAAATCACAAGGCACCACATGAATGCACAATTCGTAGGAACTATGATTGAATGGTTTTGGATTAATATGCATATCTTCTGTTAAGTACTGCTGCCTACTTTTATCGAATATATAACTCCGATTAAGTCATAGAAGCACACAAATGCATAGTTCCTGTGAATTGTGTTTAAATGGTCTTGGATTATCTATAAATAGCTTCTGTACTCACCTTCCTAAATTTGGTGATGGAAGCTAGAACCTGTCTTTTCTTTGGGTGATGGTCTTGGATTACTTATGCATTGTTGCGTTGGAAATGCATAAAGTGTGGAGGGCAATAGATACAGAAAAAAATCTTGTTGTATTCAAAATATCAATGTTCGGAATGTGGAAATGTGCAGGTCTGCAGAAAAAACCAGCAAGGGAAGTGCATTTGGTTGTGCACTGTACTATGGTGTAGACTCTTAATTTGATGCGGTATGCCGAAGTGCATTTGGTTGTGCACTGTAGTAGGAGGAATCTATCAGTAATAGATACAATGAGAACGAGAAGTTAACGTAATGATTTGATCGACAGAATTCAATCATCATTGTAGCTGCTTTTTCCGGGGGCAAGTGTCCGTAGGTATTTCATATTTGAGTTCGAATACCCAGATTCCTGGAGGAAAAGGTGCATTGCTTCCATGCTGGTTTATGTGTCATAGGAAGAAAACTCTTGCTACAAATCCATCTTTAACGTGCACATTAAAATTCCTGGCAGCCAGCTTGCTCCAAAAAAGGTTCCTCCTTTGAATCCAAAGGTAAGAAGAAAGGAATGCTTAATGTCTGTCTCAGATTGCCTTTCTTTCCCGTGCAGAGCAAAATTCCTCGCAGCTTGCTCCAAAAAGTTTCCTTTTGGTTGCCTCCTTTCAATCCATACAAAGGTAGGAAGAAAGAAAAGAATGCTTCGATGCCTCAAATGGGTTTCCTTTCCCCATGTTATCATGTTCCTTGTTGATTCTCCATGCTAATCCCTCTCTCATAAAACGGCCAACAAACATCTTTAGTGTGTTCAATTCATTTCCCACGTAAACAAATAAGCCAAACCATGGGAAGCCATTGTCATGGATGTAAGTTATGGGTGGTGTTTTTGGTGTTGGTGATGATGAAGGGAGCAACGGCGGCCGGAGGGCTGGCTGCTAACTGGGGGACTCAGTCGACGCACCCGTTGCCGGCGAACATAGTGGTGAAGCTTCTGAAGGAGAATGGGTTCGACAAGGTGAAGTTGTTCGAGGCAGACCCGCCGGCGTTGAAGGCGTTGGGGAACTCTGGCATCCAGGTCATGGTTGGGATCCCAAACGAGCTTCTCGGGCCACTTTCCTCCTCGGTTCAGGCGGCGATTGATTGGGTTCAGCAGAACGTGTCCAACTACATCTCACAAATGGGTGTCAACATAAGGTAAAATACATTCGATGATGGGTCAGTTTCGTTAGGGTGTGATATGGACTAATGCACACCATCCAACATTTAGCATTTCCTCATGTTTGGTGCAAATGAGCTTTATTTATTTGTATTTGAAAGAAGGAAAAAGAAAATTATGAATTCACCATATGCAATATGAATATTAAGTAATAATAGCATGACATTTTGAATTCAATGGTATTTTTTTTCTAGATCACATTAGAACTTCGAAGTTAAAACTCGATTTAACAGATCGTTTGGTACCAAATGAATGAAGAATCCATTTCTTTGTAAAATGAATTACCCTATAGAATTCATTCTCAAATGAAATATGGGGTTTGGTATGTCATATTCAAATTTTTAGAAATAAATGAATTGTCATGTAGAATTCATTGTCAAATGAATTATGTGTTTGGTATGTCATATGTATAAGTAATTTAGTTAATGTAAGAGGATGATTATGTCATTCTACTATAATTAGTAAATACTTATGGAATTCATTTATACCAAACGGTATGTAAAAAAATCAAAAGTTTCAGTACAAATTCTTCCATTTTTTAGTTGTTCAGTGTTTAGAGTTTGACACCAAACCCGAGGAAATTTAGCCAATCATGATTTCTGGTTCTAAAATTTAAAATTCTACAGAGGTTTTTTTTTATGAATAAAAATTCTATAGAGTTTGTGCTATTTATAGTAATTATGAGGAATTGAGGTGGGGCTTACATATGCATTTCATAACTAATTCACGAATCAATGTAAATTACATAAGTGATTAGCTATTAAATGCATTTAACACTATTTTACTTTATTATTGAGTGATTGTTGCTTCCCTCTTAAGTTTTTTCTCTACTTCTCTCTTCAAATTCTATTTGATAATTTCTTCGTTTCCACTCCAATCCATGTCTCTGTTTTGACCACTACAAACATAAATTTGATATGTCACATTGGTTTCTTTAATTTGCCTCTTCCTTTTCTTCTTCACTTTTGGTTTCTTTGCCTCTCTTTTCATCTCTAACTTTCTTTGATTCATCTGTCAAATGATTTTTATGAAATTTTGAAGTCAAAGATGAATTTATGAAATTGTGCAGTGAGGTCTCGATTATTACTAGATTCTCATTCATTAATAAACAAACTCATTGAGGTTGTGATAGAGTGTGTTATTTATGCAATGCAAGAGAGAGTTACATGTAGGTAATTTAAAGTAGATATGACAATATCAAAATAAGTTCATGTTCGACTTTTAACATGTTACAAATGGAATTCAATTTTATTTAGTAAGAAAGACTTCAGCTTGAGATTCCAAAGAAAGAAATTCATATAGAAATGAATTCTACATAATAATTATGTTTGTTATTGTTCCGAACGATCTATTAAGTGTCTTGTTATCACTTTATCATATTCAAACAATTTAAGTTCCAAGTAATTTAAAATAAATTATAGTGATAGATACCATTAGGACACCAAACATTGCAAAAAGTGTCATTCCTAGCATAATGTTTTTTTTTTTAATGACAACACTCGAGAACAGTGTTTTGTTTCTGCTAATTTTGATTATAAGTGGCCAGAGTTACACGTCGACAAATAATGTGTCGTATGAAGTTTTTTTAGAATTTCGTGGGGATGGTCATTTTTAATCAATTGGAAAAATAAAATATTAAGAAAAATTTGCTTTTAATTAAAAATAACTTTCGTGATATAATGAAAATATAAATACATTTTATAACACAATTTCCGTGATCATATTCAGGCACGTGGCTGTGGGTAATGAGCCATTTCTCAAGACCTACAACGACAAATTCGTACATACAACATTCCCAGCTCTTAAGAACATCCAAGCTGCTTTGATAAAGGCAGGGTTAGGGAGGCAAGTTAAGGTCACAATTCCACTCAATGCTGATGTCTACCAGAGTGACAACGGTCTTCCTTCTGGCGGCAGCTTCCGACCAGATATCCATGACCTTATGGTCTCCATCATTAAGTTCCTTAGTGAAAGCAATTCACCCCTTACCTTCAACATCTACCCTTTCCTGAGCTTGTATGCTGACTCCCACTTCCCCAAGGAGTATGCCTACTTTGATGGCAATGCTGCCCCTCTCGTCGATGGATCCATCTCCTACACGAACGTCTTCGATGCCAATTTCGACACCCTCGTCGCAGCTCTTGACAAGATCGGTTTCTCCTCTATGCCTGTCATTGTTGGTGAGGTAGGTTGGCCCACCGACGGTGACTTGAATGCCAACGTGGACAACGCCAAGAGATTCAATCAAGGGCTTGTCGATAGGATACTCCAAGGTCGTGGCACCCCAAGGCGCTCCACCCCTCCAGATGTCTACATATTCTCCTTGATTGACGAAGATGCTAAGAGCATCGATCCGGGAAACTTTGAGAGGCATTGGGGGGTCTTCAACTTCGATGGTGCCCTCAAGTACCAACTCAATTTGGGGAGTGGTAGAGGTCTGGTCCCTGCCAAAGGTGTGAGGTACTTGACGCGACAATGGTGTGTCTTGTCCCCTCAAGCAAGCTTGGACGACCCTGCTTTGGCTAGCAGCGTGAGCTACGCTTGTAGTTACTCTGATTGCACTAGCTTGGGGTCTGGATCTTCTTGTGGTGTATTGGATGCTAGGGGCAATGCATCTTATGCTTTCAACATGTACTTTCAAACAATGAACCAGAGGAAAGGTACATGTTCGTTTAGCAACAACCTCTCTATGATTACCACTCTTGATCCATCTGCTGGTGCTTGTCGGTTCAAGGTCATGATTGATATTGGGAAGCATCAACTGCCTCCTGCACGTTCTTCATCGACGGGAAGAAAACTCAAGTTTGTACTCAGTGTCACTGCGATCGTCATGCTCCTAGTTTCTGGAGCCTAGTAAAGATGGAGAACCAAATTTTTCAGCGAGGCATCAAATTGTGTTGTAAATTTCGCAATTCCGTAAAGATAATAAATTTGTAATAGATGTTGAAGTAAGCATATTGCAAATAATCTACATCCATCTCTTTCCATGCTCACCCCCAACAACAACTTCCCCTGCTATAAGATCAGTCTCTTATATCGATGAGCAAGTTAGTAGACTGAGACAACCATCGGAAGTTGCATCTATATGCACTTTGTAGGAGGAAGTGAATTACATTATCTTGAAATTACACACAACTGAATATTGTATACATATTACTCGTTAACTACAAGAAATATTGAAAGACTACGTACAAAGCTAGTTGTATATTGAGCTTCGAGCACCTTCAACCACCAATCACTTGTTTCCTCTCCTTGAATCTATCAAGTTGTTGTTGTGACTAATAAGAACCTATGTGATGGTATACATCACTCACTTGTTTCTTTTTTTTTATACATGAATTAGTTATGACAATAAATTTTTTTATCAAGTAACCAACTTAATCAAACTTAGAAAATATGAAGGTAGATTCAAGGTTTTCACACACACATATATATAATATTGATTTAAACTTAATATATGCTATTTTCTATTGTAGTTTGATTCTAATCGGTTCCCTAATCGAGTTGTTCTTTACTCATTTATTTATTGACACACTTGCACAAGTCCCTATATGTAGCTTGATTCTAATAAATTTCACGTTCGAGTTTTTCTTTACTAATGATCTAACACAATTTATACTAGTCCCTTGTGGATCGTTCAACTATGGATATTCAGGGTCATCATGGGCGCTTTCATGTAGACACACACTTGTTGCATAATGAATGAGGATGGGGCCTGAATGTTGCAACCAATATCTATAGCCACTAATTGGTACAAAACTCCCACGAGAGCAACTGTTAATATTTGCTAATGCATAGAGATCATCACTGACAAATGAGTATTTCTTGATTGACGACGAGAGACAAACTGCAATAGCATGCAAGCAAGGCACTCTTGTGGCGTGGAACTTGCCACACGCGCACATCCCTGTGTAACTTTAGTGTTCAAACTTTACAATATAAACACTCTCGCTAGGAATTCATTGATTTAAAGTCAAATTTGTTACATCAACCTTTTAGGGGTCTTTTGGCAAGCATGAATTGTAAGATACATGAATTTCAAGATAGCATATAGGACTATAAGAATTCATGTGATGTGATGTTAGAATACATAATTTGGTTTACGTGAATTCTGAAATTGGTAAATTTGTATAAAATAACAAAATTATTAGAAAATAACAATATTCCAAAGTATATTCACTTTAACCATGTTTCACTTTATGAACAAAAGAGGTAAGTAAGTTAGTGGGTCCCGTAAGTTGGGTGAATTGTATAATGCTCTAGGTAACCACAAAGCATTCGAAAATTCATATTTGTGTGTGTTTTGAAATTATGTGGACCATCAATATCATTGTATTCCTCTTTGAAGTTAAAAAAATATTGAAATTGGAGATATCATGTATTCTTCAAATTAGCTGGTATTCATGGTTTCAAAATGACCCCTTAATTAATTTGCAAGGTTTCGCGGTTTGACCCCCAACTTTCGTGTCGCTTCCTCATGATAGATTTGCAATATCCATTGTACTCATTATAACATATTATCCCAATCTTTACCTATTTTATGTCATTGATGCTCAAAGTACTTCATCGTTCTAAAATGTGTTGCAAAAAAGGTTTGCAAATGACATGCCACAAACTTCGTTGGGATTTTTCGTCATGCACCAGCTTCGTTATCACATGCAAGACTCTATTATAGTTGATTGTGCTCCACCCAAGTAGTGCCTCTCAAATTTTGCATGTATAACATCATCTCCACGGTTCTTGTAAATTCGTGGATTGGTTTATTGTATATGATGTTGCAGATAAACAGTTGAGCATGTAAAAGTAATCGAATGTGTTTCGTAAATAGTATCTGTTGTCAATCATAATTACTTTAAGGAAACTTGTTTCCAGAGTCTTGGTGTCAAGGAGTTTACTTCCTATAAAGAACCAACAATACACTCCTTGTGTTGACATAATGCAACATGCACCATCTCTAAGTCCAACCTCGACCAATGTCCTTATTGCACGATGAACTTTGACATTATGGTTAGAGATTATACAAAGTGTTTACCCATAAAAAAACAGCTTGTACCACATCGATTAACTACAAGAAATTCAATGGATTTATAAGGCCAGCTCAACATTAATATTTAAAAGAGCTAGCTAGGCCTTGTTGGGTTGGGTTTTTGGGCCTAAATGGCCAAACCACTTCTTCTCTATACGATGGTCGACCCGTCTCCTCTATGCCTGTCATTTATGGTGAGGTAGGTTGGCCCACCGACGGTGACTTGAATGCCAACGTGGACAACGCCAAGAGATTCAATCAAGGGCTTGTCGATAGGATACTCCAAGGTCGTGGCACCCCAAGGCGCTCCACCACCCCTCCAGATGTCTACATATTCTCCTTGATTGACGAAGATGCTAAGAGCATCGATCCAGGAAACTTTGAGAGGCATTGGGGGGTCTTCAACTTCGATGGTGCCCTCAAGTACCAACTCAATTTGGGGAGTGGTGGTAGACGTCTGGTCGTCCCTGCCAAAGGTGTGAGGTACTTGACGCGACAATGGTGTGTCTTGTCCCCTCAAGCAAGCTTGGACGACCCTGCTTTGGCTAGCAGCGTGAGCTACTCTTGTAGTTACTCTGATTGCACTAGCTTGGGATCTGGATCTTCTTGTAGTGTATTGGATGCTAGGGGCAATGCATCTTATGCTTTCAACATGTACTTTCAAACAATGAACCAGAGGAAAGGTACATGTTCGTTTAGCAACAACCTCTCTATGATTACCACTCTTGATCCATCTGCTGGCGCTTGTCGGTTCAAGGTCATGATTGATATTGGGAAGCATCAACTGCCTCCTGCACGTTCTTCATCGACGGGAAGAAAACTCAAGTTTGTACTCAGTGTCGCTACGATCGTCATGCTCCTAGTTTCTGGAGCCTAGTGAAGATGGAGAACCAAATTTTCAGCAGAGGCATCAAATTGTGTTGTAAATTTCGCAATTCCGTAAAGATAATAAATAACGCACTTGATTTCAAGGATTTTATCTAATGCGAGCTTCTTTTTTTCACACTACAAATAGGGTATAATAATTATTCTAAGAGTACTGCTATTGTGTATGTAAATTTGTAATAGATGTTGAAGTAAGCATATTGCAAATAATCTACATCCATCTCTTTCCATGCTCACCCCCAACAACAACTTCCCCTGCTATAAGATCAGTCTCATATATCGATGAGCAAGTTAGTAGACTGAGACAACCATCGGAAGTTGCATCTATATGCACTTTGTAGGAGGAAGTGAATACATTATCTTGAAATTACACACAACTGAATATTGTACACATATTTACTCATTAACTACAAGAAATATTGAAAGACTACGTACAAAGCTAGTTGTATATTGAGCTTCGAGCACCTTCAACCACCAATCACTTGTTTCCTCTCCTTGAATCTATCAAGTTGTTGTTGCGCCTAATAAGAACCTATGTGATGGTATACATCGCTCACTTGTTTCTTTCTCTTGATACATGAATTAGTTATGACAATAAATTTTTTTTATCAAGTAACCAACTTAATCAAACTTAGAAAATATGAAGTAGATTCAAGGTTTACACACATATATATAATATTGATTTAAACTTAATATATGCTCTTTTCTATATGTAGTTTGATTCTAATCGGTTCCCTAATCGAGTTGTTCTTTACTCATTTATTTATTGACACACTTGCACAAGTCCCTATATGTAGCTTGATTCTAATAAATTTCACGTTCGAGTTTTTCTTTACTAATGATCTAACACAATTTATACTAGTCCCTTGTGGATCGTTCAACTATGGATATTCAGGGTCATCATGGGCGCTTTCATGTAGACACACACTTGTTGCATAATGAATGAGGATGGGGCCTGAATGTTGCAACCAATATCTATAGCCGCTAATTGGTACAAAACTCCCACGAGAGCAACTGTTAATATTTGCTAATGCATAGAGATCATCACTGACAAATGAGTATTTCTTGATTGACGACGAGAGACAAACTGCAATAGCATGCAAGCAAGGCACTCTTGTGGCGTGGAACTTGCCACACGCGCACATCCCTGTGTAACTTTAGTGTTCAAACTTTACAATATAAACACTCTCGCTAGGAATTCATTTATTTAAAGTCAAATTTGTTACATCAACCTTTTAGGGGTCTTTTGGCAAGCATGAATTGTAAGATACATGAATTTCAAGATAGCATGTAGGACTATAAGAATTCATGTGATGTGATGTTAGAATACATAATTTGGTTTACGTGAATTCTGAAATTGGTAAATTTGTATAAAATAACAAAATTATTAGAAAATAACAATATTCCAAAGTATATTCACTTTAACCATGTTTCACTTTATGAACAAAAGAGGTAAGTAAGTTAGTGGGTCCCGTAAGTTGGGTGAATTGTATAATGCTCTAGGTAACCACAAAGCATTCGAAAATTCATATTTGTGTGTGTTTTGAAATTATGTGGACCATCAATATCATTGTATTCCTCTTTGAAGTTAAAAAAATATTGAAATTGGAGATATCATGTATTCTTCAAATTAGCTGGTATTCATGGTTTCAAAATGACCCCTTAATTAATTTGCAAGTTTTCGCAATTTGACCCCAACTTTCGTGTCGCTTCCTCATGATAGATTTGCAATATCCATTGTACTCATTTTAACATATTATCTCAATCTTTACCTATTTTATGTCATTGATGCTCAAAGTACTTCATCGTTCTAAAATATGTGTTGCAAAAAAGATTTGCAATTGACATGCCACAAACTTCGTTGGGATTTTCCGTCATGCACCAGCTTCGTTATCACGTGCAAGACTCTGTTATAGTTGATTGTGCTCCACCCATTTAGTGCCTCTCAAATTTTGCATGTATAACATCATGCTTGAAAATTTTCTCCACGGTTGTTGTAAATTCGTGGATTGGTTTATTGTACATGATGTTGCAGAAAATCATTTGAGCATGTAAAAGTAATCGAATGAGTTTCGTAAATAGTATATGTTGTCAATCGTAATTACTTTAAGGAAAACTTGTTTCCAGAGTCTTGGTGTCAATGAGTTTACTTCCTATAAAGAACCAACAATACACTCCTTGTGTTGACATAATGCAACATGCACCATCTCTAAGTCCAACCTCGACCAATGTCCTTATTGCACGATGAAGTCTGACATTATGGTTAGAGATTATACAAAGTGTTTACCCATAAAAAAATCAGCTTGTACCACATCGATTGACTACAAGAAATTTAATGGATTTATAAGGCCAGCTCAACATTAATATTTAAAAGAGCTAGCTAGGCCTTGTTGGGTTGGGTTTTTGGGCCTAAATGGCCAAACCACTTCTTCTCCACTGCCTTGGTACCAAGATATGAAAAAACATGAATTTGGCTAAGTATGGAGCTAAGGGGGTACCAAGTCGGCAAGGCAGCCTCGGTACCATGACCCTAAGGGGGTATCAAGCCGGAAACTAAGTCTGGATATTAAGCCGACAATACGAGCTTGATAGCCAGACATCAGGGTATCAAGCCAACAAGACAAGAAATTCGACGAAGGCATGGTGGCTAGCTGAGGTGGCCACCCGACTAGGTACCAAACAACCATGGAAGGATCGACCAGGATGCAGAGCTGAGCCCTTATAGGGCCATATGGAGACAAAGTCCCAAGACGGGCTTGGTAGCACCTTAACGGGGTACCCAAACGGCAGGGTGCAACTTACCAACTTGATGAGGCTACAAAAACTAAGTATGGATACCAAGCCACCAGGGCTGGCTTGGTAGCAAGGGGTGTCAAGTTGATTGCATGGGCTTGGTGGCATGCTAGAAGGTATCAAGCCGATGAGACGAACAACCAACAAGTTAATGAGGAGGACTTGGTGTCATGAGGTGGTAGCGGTCTCAGGAGCGGGGATTCATCAAGTAGTCGAGGGTGAGATCAAGGCCTCATCGTGGTTCATTGAGGCTAAGGCAAGAACCTCAACCCCATCCAGTCATGACAAGGCGACAAGGGTCAACAACAACCCGACCCCCCGACCCGGCATTGCGGTCATCAAGTACCCACCAGCCCCAAGACAGGACAATGGCCCCCAAGGCGATGGTTACCAACTAGTCACCAAGGCGGCGACAATGACCCCGAGGCGGTTTGGAACAAGAGGCCAGCTAGCAGTTACCAAGGCGGTTACACCTAGTGGCTATAAATAGAAGAAACGAAGAAGAAGCAAGGGTTCCACAACCAAACATTTGACAACACATGTCAAACTCTATCTTTTTCTCTGCAATGTAGCCATAGTCGTAGCCTTTAGTTTCTGGAGCTCTCACTGAACCTCCATAGGAGTAGGAGTAAAGTAACGTAGCTTGTTACCAAAAAACCATAAAAAATATCAAACACCCTCGTTCGAACATTGTTCGTAGAGGTGTGAACTATGTTTAGAATCGTTTTTCAAAAAGTCGAAGGTGCATTCATTGTGTTCAAACACTAGAATTTTCCTCGCCGGAAAAACACAAAATAATGTTGTCAGTTACATACTTAGCTTGTGCAAACACTTTACAAAATCATCATGACCAACTCCTATAACTTAATTGATAAGATAAAACAAAATCGCCCACTCAACGAGGTAGAGACTAAGCTAGTTATAATTAGTGTCGTTTTTGTTTTCTTTACAAAATTAATCGTCATAAATTACTGTAAGAAAAAATAATCATCATAACTAATGCATAAAATAGAAAATTTGCGTAAAGCTGCTTTCAAATACACGCGCCGGGCGTGTAAACGAAAACCAAAAGAACTAACGGCGAGGGGTAATAAGGGAAATAATTAAAGTATACATCAAACGGAAAGAGGAGAACCCCAAACGAAGACGACGAAGGATTGAATAACGCGCCGAGTCGAAACGAGGCAAAGCAGAAGCTGCGGAAGCGAGTGAAGGAGAAAAGCGAGTGGCAACATTTCATTAGATCTGGAAAAACCCTAATTTTTTCCCTGTCCCTTCTCTCTAACGCGCTCTGTGTCCCTCACTCGCCTCTTTGCGGTTCACTGCTTTTATTTCGCGCGGATTCCTCCCTCCGAAGAATCGCTTTGAGGTTCCTTTTCTCTAATCCAATCTCCTTTTCTCTCTCTCTCTCTCTTCTCAAGCTTCTGGTTTCCTTTTCTGGTTTTTCTGTTTGGTTGCTGGGAATATGGTGAACGAGAAGTGGTCACCTTGCTTTGATCGGAGTAGTAGTGTATACTTGTTGCATCATGATACTGACATAACTGTACACGCGGGTCTCGATTGGGTGACCGAATTCCCCCTTCGCCTTCGACTCCTTTTGAGAATGGAGGAAAAAACTGAAAATTGAAAAGCTTGGCTGAGCTGGGTGTATGAGAATACTTGTAAAGATGCAATTCTGGAGGTGTCAGCTTCAGCTTTTGCTGAAAGAGGCAGGCATAGGTAGAAACTAGGAAGTAATGATCTTTTCACGTTGGTGGAATAGGGTTTGAGAACATTCGACTAGTCATATTTGTTACTGATAGCTGCCTGGATCATATTTGTTACTGATAACTGCTTATGGTGATTGTTCATGTAATTTGTTGCTATGATGCTTACTTTACTGTCGTTTCTCTCGGTTTGGGTTTGGTTTTCGACCTTGTGATGTTGTGCTGGATTCACTTGATTATGAATCCTGTTCGTATTCACTTCATACTTATATTCAGGTGTCTGGCTAGTAGCAACATGATAAGTGAAAACATTTCTGTCGACTAAGCTTGAACCTGTGGCAGCTGATTTCAGTTACCATGATGCAAGGATCTTTAGTGGTATAATACCAAGGGATTGGCTACTTCGACTCTGATGCTATCTCTATTTATCATTTTTCAGGTGATATAACCGAGGCATTTGCTAGAGTTCCTTGTTAATTCATCCCATGGATATTGATCTGAGGTTGCCTTCGGGTGGGCATGATAAGGAAGATGATGAAACAAATGGAATTGATCATATGTTAAACGAAGACAAGCTGCATAGTTCAGAGGCAGAGACTCTAACCATGGTTAATGTTTCAGAAGATGTACATGCTACAGAAGGTGGAAATGTAAACTCCGCAATGAGAGCCACTGAAAACAAAGAAGGAACAAATCTTGAACCTCTTTCTGGCATGGAATTTGAATCGCACAGTTCAGCATATGCATTTTATCAGGAATATGCTCGGTCCATGGGGTTCAATACTGCCATACAGAACAGTCGTCGCTCAAAGACATCTAGGGAATTTATTGATGCAAAATTTGCCTGTTCCAGGTATGGAACGAAGAGAGAGTATGAGAAGTCTTGTAACAAACCACGCTCTAGGCAGGAAAAGCAGGAACCTGAAAATGGAACCAGCAGAAGATCATGCTCAAAGACCGACTGCAAAGCAAGCATGCATGTCAAGAGAAGGCCTGATGGAAAGTGGGTCATCCATAGTTTCGTGAAGGAGCACAACCATGATCTCTTACCTGCCCAGGCTGTGAGTGAACAGACAAGAAATATGTATGCTGCAATGGCTAGGCAATTTGCTGAATACAAGAATGTTGTTTGCCTCAAGAATGACACCAAGAGCCCATTTGATAAACCTCGATCTTCGGTACTAGAAGCTGGAGATGCTAAGTTTTTGCTTGATTTCTTAACACAAATGCAGAGTTTAAATTCCAACTTCTTTTATGCGGTGGACATAGGTGAAGATCTACGTCTGAAGAACTTGCTTTGGGTCAATGCTAAAGGTAGGCATGACTACGTCAATTTCTGTGATGTTGTCTCCTTGGATACCACCTACATGAGAAACAAATATAAGATGCCTCTTGTTCTCTTTGTTGGAGTGAACCAGCACTATCAATTCTTGCTGCTTGGATGTGCTCTGATATCAGATGAGAGCACAGCAACATATTCCTGGCTTATCCAAAACTGGCTTAGAGCAATGGGTGGGCGGGTGCCTACTGTTATCATCACTGACCAGGACAAAACATTGAACTCGGTTATTCCGCATGCCCTTCCTGGTGCTCGTCATTGCTTTTCTTTGTGGAGCATTTTTGGGAAGGTTTCTGAGAACTTGGGTGATGTGATTAAACAGCATGACAACTTCATTAAAAAAATCGAAAAATGTGTCTTCAGGTCATGGACAGAGGCAGACTTCATCAAGAGGTGGTGGAAACTCCTTGATAGATTTGAGCTCCAAGGGAACGAGTGGATGCAACCATTATATGAAGATCGTGAGAAATGGGTGCCATTGTACTTGAAGGGTGCTAATTTGGGCGGAATGTCCACAGTTCAAAGATCCGACAGCGTGAACTCGTACTTTGACAAGTTTGTGCACAAGAAGAGCACTGTACAAGAGTTTGTGAAACAGTATGAAGTTGTTTTACTGGAAAGGTATGAGGAAGAAGCCAAAGCAGAATCTGATACATGGAACAAGCACCCCGCTCTGAAATCCCCTTCCCCATTGGAGAAGAGTGTTTCAGGGTTGTACACTCTTGCCGTCTTCAAGAAGTTTCAAGTTGAAGTGTTGGGCGTAGTTGCTTGCCATCCTAAACTGGAGAGTGAAGATGAAACTAGTGTCGTTTTTCGAGTTCAAGACTTGGAGAAGCAGCAAGATTTTTCTGTCATGTGGAACCAATTGAGAGCTGAAGTTTCTTGTATTTGTCGACTACAAGAATATAAGGGTTATCTGTGTAGGCATGCATTGGTTGTTTTGCAGATGTGTCAGCAATCTGCTGTCCCATCTCGTTATATATTAAAACGATGGACCAAAGAGGCAAAGAGCAGGCATCTTAGTATGGGTGAAGAAGAATCTGAGCAACTACAGTCTAGGATGCAAAGGTACAATGACTTGTGTCAAAGAGCATTGAAATTGAGCGAGGAAGGGTCATTTTCACAAGAGAGTCATAACATCGCCCTTCGTGCTGTTGAAGAAGCTTTTGGAACTTGCTTAAGTGTCAACAATTCTAGCAAGAGTGTCCCGGATGCTGTTACATCAACTGCACATGGTCTTCTCTGCACCGAAGATGATAACCAAAGTAGGAGCATGAACAAGACTAATAAGAAAAAGAACCCTACTAAAAAAAGAAAGGTGGTTACTAATGGTCATTGACATTTGTTTCTCTATACAAGTTGTCTTTGTCTGATGTTTAACATGATGTGGTCTGCAGGCTGGGTTGGAGCCGGAGATTGCAACAGTTGGGATAGAAGACAGCATGATGGTGCAATTCGTGTTCTGAACAACCTCCCCCTGAAACATTCACAATTTAATAGTTTTCTTTGTTTTGCTACACATGCACAACTGATATTCTTTATTGCAGGAAAAGTTGAACTCTAGAGCTGTATCACTGGATGGCTTTTATGGGTCACAACAGCCTGTGCCAGGGATGGTATGAATCATGATATGGCTCTAAATTTGGTTTTGATCTTTAACATCAATGTCCATGCTAATCCTTACACAGAGAATTATTTTTTATATAGGTTCATAACTTTATGGAACGTTATTATCAGCCGAGCATACAAGGGCAGGTATGTCAGGAAAGCCTTTTATTTTGGTAGTTGAAACGACTTCTTAGTTTCCAAATTAAAGGTTTTGGGATAGTGGGCTAAGGAAATGATCTTAGTATCCTGATCTTAGTTTAGGATTAAACCCTCAGTTGAGGAGAGGGATAATGTGTGATCTGGCGGACTTTTGCAGGGACAAATGAACTCACTACCAGCGCAAACCCATGATGGTTATTTCAGCTCCCAGCAAGGCCTTCCCCATCCTCTGGTAAAATTACCACCAATCTCGGCTCTATGCAATAATGTCCGCTCTCTTAGTGCATCGTTAAAGGCTTAAAGCTGGTGGATTTTTCTTGTCGATTGCAGGGGGTAGATTTCCTCAACAGAACAATTGGTTATTCTTTCGGAATCCGGGTATAGTTCTGCTATCTCAGCAAAACATTTCTCTGTTAGTGATTCACGCCGTGTGTCGCTTTGAACTGTCGTTCTTTACTAATTTGAGGGTTATTCTTCTTTCCGGGGTTGATTACAGCAGGATGATTCTAATGTGAGAACATCCCAACTACATGATGATGCATCCAGACATGTGTAGAAAATGGACAACAGAGAAGCTGAATATGAGTGGTGCAAGAACATAAGTCTGTATATTCTAGATCAGAGGGTGTCCAATGATAAGGTGTTTCTGTTCATGCCGTCTGCCAGAATAAGATGATTTAGAGTTATAACTTGCATCTTATCTCTAATCGTAGTTGTAAAGCTTGTTTGTAATGTTGTATCCTGATTGTTACGTTAATGGAAATCATTGAATGTGTTAGAGTAGATGCTGTATTTGCATTTACCTCAATTTTTTCTAGTTAGGGTCAAAAGAACATGAGCGAGTTTTCTCTGCGAATTGTGTTGTACAATCTAAGTCTTTCTTTAATAAGGCATGAATTCTCGTCGCCGGAACTCTTTTCATTAGAAGAAAAATTGTTCTTGAAGATTCTCAATTTGCAAAATAGTCTTTGCTCCATTATTCTCTCCATTGAGATCGGCCAGTGATCGACTGATAAAACAATGATTCTTGCCAGCAGTTTTTACCCGTTTTTGCCATTTTTCTAACCATTCAACAATGTTGTGACTATTGGGTGGGAAAAAAAGTTTAGTATGCATTGCATGCCCTTCACATACTCAACGAAACTTGTAGGGTAAAACTTTTAGAGTTTCATTCAAAATGTGAGTTCCTGTATATATTATATTTCTGCTATACAATATAGGAACATATTTTTTAAAACACCCCATTTACGATAAATTTTGTTAAATTACCGTATTTAGATGTTTTTTCTCATTCTCCACGAGTGCGATTCAAACCACCTCTACCACAAACTCATAGCGATGGCAATAGATCCCGGTGGATGAGCAGATAACGCATATACCTTACCCTACTCAAAATAGTTTGGGTTTAACCTATTCCAATACACATACAAGAATCAGGCAGATTATCAAAATCATATGCATATTCCATTGAGTTGCGGGTATCCAAGATTATCCATGGATAATAATTTCTTTTTATAACTTCAACCAAATTGTTAAATGCTAACACTACATAAGTGAAAAAAGTAAACGAAAAAATTAGTTAAAAATAATACAATTTCACTAAAATATGATATATGCACAATAAATATAAAATATGTTGAGAAAATAATGATATTTTTAAACAAAATACATATATAAGCATATAATCGGTGAGTTTGGGTTGGATAGTGAAAAAATCATACTCACTCATCCAATGGCGGATCCAGAAATTTTTTATAGGGGTGTCATCTTCCAAAAATTAAATTTAATTCATAAATAAAAAAATATCCAATTAGTGCAAATATACCATATTAGACAATAATTTACGAATTGATCGCATATTTGATTTCTAACCTTGTTCCTGATGGAACCCAAACTTGAAAGACTTTTTCAAATCTTGCAGTATACCCATAAAATCAATTCAAATTAAGAATAGCTCGAATAAGTTAATTGTTATGTTTTGAAAATAATTGCGAATAAAGAATAGTGTTTTTACTATGTTAAAATAGAACAACAAATGAGTTGCAACCTAGAGAATATGTTTAATAATAGTAGTGTCCTAGATTTGAATAACACAGAGTACTACTTATATATTTTTAATCATACGCAAACTACTACCGAGGACAGGATAATCATTTTTTCAAAATTTAAGGGTGTCCCGGATTACCAATTATAATTTTTTTATTCATACGAAACTACTATCGGGGGTTGGATAATCGTTTTCTCAAATTTTAGGGGTGTCCCTAAAGGCCCATGTATCCGCCACTGCACTCATCATTCGTAATCTTCACTTACGAATTTTATCCATACCGATTAAAAATTCTTCGAGTTCACATTTTATCCTACTCAATTACTCGATGCATAATCAGTAGAATCTAGATTAGATAATGAAAAAATCATAATATTCACATTCGAATTCACTTATTACCCTATATTAATCGAATTCAGAACAATTAGTCATTCATAACCAACCCATACCATCATCGCCGCCTACTTCTAAAAGTCTAAAATGGTTTAATTCCAGATTATAATAGTGATTAGTGAACAATAATAAAATCATGGCTGCGCCAACACGAAATATAAAAATGGGATAGAAAGTAACAAAAAAGAAAGAAGATTTTCTTCGTCCTTACTTCGTTCAGCTAATTATTAAAAATAAAAACAATAAAGTTGCCGCTAGGGCTCATCACTCAGCACTCGCCGGAACCAGACCACCCGGCTGCCGGCTGGCACTACAGCCACCACTGTCGCTTTCTCTTCTGGTCTTCAAATTTCAATTATCCATCTCTCTCTTTCTCTGTCCATGCTTTATACGTAGATGTTACCGAAACATCTCTGTGTCTGTGTGGAATTGCCCAAGAGTCTAAAGTTCTACGTTTTCTTAACCCCGAATTCTTTGGCGATTGATTGCTGAATTTCATTCCGTCACATGCAGTTAGAGTTGATTAGCGTCGATCTCCGTTGAAATTTGAACTCGCAATCTCTTTTCTCCAGACGGAATTCCGAGTTTTCTCTGAGAGAAATGATGAAGTCCGGCAACGGCAAGTCTCACGCCGAAGAGGAAGATGACGGCGACGATTATGATTCCCCTTCCTCTAGAGGTACTCACGGCGTGTATTTTTTTTTCCTTCTCCTGAGATGCGTTTTCGCATTTCCTCATTCCAGCTTCTCAGTCCTTTCTTTCGGGTGTTTCGTGATTGCGACTTATAGGTGAAATGGCGAAAGATGATGGCAAGAGTAGTGACCAAAAGGGAAACACCCACAGGTCGAAGCATTCCGAGACTGAACAACGGAGGAGAAGCAAGATTAATGAGAGGTCTGCCTCAGTTCTTATTTGTTTACTGCTTCAATTACTATGACCGTGGCGCCTATTAAGGACTCTTGAACTTGTTGATCCTGTGGTTTAAGTTTGGATTATCGTTTGTATATAAACAAGTATGAAGTCTTCCGGGGGAAGGTTTGAATGTTTGTTATTAGTCAATGAGTGTTGAAAGGCATTAACTATTGATTGTGTTGACAAGTGCAAGGTCTTTTATCCATTGTTGTGTTTCCTAGTTCAGAATTCTCGTTGACTTTGAAAATTTGAGATTATGGGGTTGAGATGGCCAAGTATCTAACCCAATGTTGAATTGTTTGGATAAGCCAATCGTGATCCAAAGGTGGGATAGTCCCAAGCTGTCTACTGTTTAATATTAGTCAAGTCGTAACCCGCATGTGAAAATATAATGTAAAAAGTCTTGGCTGGAGTAGAACTGCTTGCTTCATTTCTGCTTTGAGAATTATGTCGCGTGGTCTTCTCAATATGTGTAGGTCATCTTTGTCATTCATCTTACTTGGAGTTAAATTCAGGTTTAAATCTCATATATGCCAATTCTTCGAAACTAGTTGTGTTGCTTTGTGAGAGGACTTATGAATTGAGGCTATACGTCAGCTTCGTTTCGATTCCTGACTTTCAGTCAGGTTGCTTGAAGTTATTTGTGTTATATTTGAGTTTCTTATTCTTGATTCTCCATAACAATGGCAAATAAGGAAATCACAAAAGTTCAACTTCTAACCGTTTCTTGTTGATTTTCTTTGTCTGATCTTTCAAGCACAATCTTGAGTGTTTAGTTACTAGGCTATGTCATGCTAACCTTGGTTCAAGTTCTGTATTGATGCCGTAGGATTTTGAGATTTTGTTATTTCTTTCTTTTTTGTACGGTCACTTATTATCGGTTTTCAAACTCATTGAAGCTTTGATGCTATCCACCTCCAATGAAGTGTTTAAATAGTGCAGTTTAGGTTTTCTTTATTAGCTTAGTGCTACTCTGCATTATATTGCCAGTTCAATTTCTTTGGACTATTTTAGTTATTGAAAACTGTTGCTTGCTTATTACCAACTGTTTTTATGAGACAGGTTTCAGATTCTAAGGGAACTTATACCACAAAATGATCAGAAAAGAGACAAGGCTTCCTTCTTGTTAGAGGTGCTCATAATAGTTCTACCCATTTGGGCTGTTGTTGATATGACTTGATACTTTCTTAACTTAACATTTCTCTGTTCATTACCAGGTTATAGGCTACATACAGTTTTTACAGGAAAGATTGCATAGGTATGAAGGATCATACAATGGCTCGAGTCAGGTGCCAACCAAATTGACCCCATGGGTAAAAGCTCTAGTATTTTACAATTATATGCCTTGCTAAGATGTTTTCCTTCACTCATTTAGTTGGCATTGATTCGTTTGTCTTCCTTGTTTAGTATAATAGATGATGCTAAAATACTATGGTGTACTTAATAGAGCAGGCAAGAAAATAGTATAATATGCAACTGTACATTACTGTCACCTAAATTGGTTTTTTTCCATCAGACATTTATGTATGCAAATTTGTTGCCATTGTTGCTTTCTTTGGATTCTTGAAAGGACAATTCTGATTGGCTTTTTTCCCCCAAATCAGAAAAACCATCTGCCTTCGGAAATTCTAGTGGACCACTCTCAAATTTTGAAGAATGGTTCTGCTCATGAAAGTACTCTAGCACCAGCCAATGCCCGAAGTTCGATGGAATTTGACTTGGAAGCTTCTACAATATGCAAAGCATTGAATCATGCCCCTGGAACTCCACCAGTTCAATATAACTTGCTTCCAGACTCGTGTATGTTTGGTGCTATTCGAGGGCTAAATGGCATGTCTACACCATGTTTGCAAGATTCCACTTCAGAGGCTGAAAACATGGCCCATCAGAGTCAGTCTGGACTTTGGCATGGTCAACCATTTGTTACAGAGTGTACAGCACCAAGCAGTCTACTGAATGGCCAACAGCTGACAAGGGAAGGTGGGACTGCTAGCATCTCAGATGTTTATTCCCAAGGGTGAGTATGTGCACTTGTGCTTAAATCCATGGGAAGGTTGTATATGCATGGCTGCATTTCACCAACGGTATTAATCGTCAGAAGCATTGAATTATTGGTGGTGGAAAGCAATGTGGAGCCTTATTATTGCTGCGACCTGATAATGCATGCTTACTAGGCTAGTTGGTGGCCAGTGTGATGTGTCAAGTTAAAGTCTGCATAAAACTTTAGATTAAGAATGGAAAAAAGATCCTGTTCAGATTTTAGAGGAACGTATGATCCAAATAGGGCCTTTAATTATCTGTTTGATGCCCTGATCTTTCGGCGTCAGAACGTTTTTGAGTGGATTGATAATAATAAAAGATATGTTCTGTTTGTGAATTTGATGGACTGAGATTCTCATTTCAGGGTACTGAGCAGTCTGGCGCAGGCACTGCAGTCATCTGGTGTGGATTTATCACAGACAAGCATCTCAGTGCAGATTAATGTCGACAAAAGTGCAAACCATGGACCAACTGCTTTGGGCCTATCACCTCCAAAGGTTTTCTTTTTGTTTCCTCCCCTTTTAGCTTTAGCTTAGTGGATACTGGTTACTTCTTTAGCTCACACTAATTCCCTATTTCCCCAGGTTGATGAAGAAGCCCAATATTTGAACAACCAAGTGATGGAGGAACAAAGCCCTGCAGACGAGTCTGATCAACATAGCTGTAAGAGACTTAGAACAGAAAATTGCTAATGTGTTATATTTAATTTTTGTTCCCCATATGGTCTAATATGGCCATCGTGGAATGGCAAGCTGTGATTTATTTTTCCCGTTGCTCATACCGTGATTCCAAGCCCATTTTCTCTGCATAATGTTTATTGTCTGAGAGGAGGAAGTCTGTATATTCGTGTATTTAATTAATACCTGCATGCATGTAGTGATTTTCTGGTAGTTCCAGCATGAGCTTAAGTGCAACCTTTCGAATTGTGCTAACCCTGAGTGCTATGTTGTGATGGTAAGTCTCGAGGATGCGGCTTCTCCATCTCTGGCTGATGAGCAATCAGCATCGAGTTCGTCGTTGCTCTCAGTTATTGCTCAGATCACCAGACATTGCATCATCGTGTACTCTTTCTGGTTGTTCTTGATTCACGCTGAGCATGTCTACAAGTGATGGCTAGTTGTCGATGTTTGTCATGTTCGTCAGTATTCTTACCAACCCCAAGACTTAGTAGAGCAATATTAGGTGAAGCTGCCATAACGTTCTGTCAAGCCGTTCTTTGGATATGCTGCTGCTCAAACATGGTGGTGTGGAGCTTTTCCTCTATTCATGCATTGAGGGCCAATGGATAACCGTTGCTATGGTTGACTATTTTGAGGAAAACTCACATTCTCTCTTTGTTAATTGACAAAATCTTTATCAACTTGTGTGGTAAAGCTCAAATTATGCGGCAAAGTGATGAGTATATTATTATTGCTACCATTATTAGTGTTTTATGGGAAGTGGGTTACTTAGAGGTTGATTACCATAAGGGGTGTAGACGGGTAGATTAGGATTAGTAGGGGCCAAGTAATTGTGTGGCAGTGGGTTTTGGTGTTCGGTTAGGGTTTTAGTGTAACCAGTCAATAAATAAACAAGTACTCGGAAAACAATGTCTCTTGCCTCTAAGTTCTCAATCTCAATTTCTCTAAAAGTCTGGGCCGATTCTTGATGTACACGATGCTTGCACCGGCAACACATCACAAAGCTATTCAATCTATTTGAACTCATCAAGATGACTATTATCTCTCCTGCACTTGGGGATTTACCCACCATAATCCTTACATGATTGATGCAAATATTAGACTAATAATTAGTCGTCTGTGCGGGTATTTATTCCTAGCAAGATGATATGTGTTGAAGCTATTCAGGAACAGATGGAACGCTTTTTGCTTCAAAAACAAGCATTAAAAAACTCGATTATTATTTAATTATTTAAATAATAATAATTAAATATGACACCGTCTTAGTTGCATACCTTATTTGATACTCGTTAGTTATATTCTCCTTCAGTTTTTTTTATAAGGGTAATATATGTTTCATTTTGTGATTAAGATACTATTTAATAGATTCGAATCTGGGACCTCCAAGTTCAATGCTAGTGGTATTACCATTTACCACTAGATCAAGCCCTTGTTCCTCCTTCATAAATTTAGTGTGAGATCACCGTCTTGTAGATTTAATTTGAAGTCATTAATGTAAACATACCAAACCAAATCACGCTCCTTTACTTTAAAAATGATGAAGTCGTATCACTTTTTCCCGTAAATAGATGTTGGATGTACCATTATTTGTACACCAGGAAGGAGGGAGAAATTGGATTTATTTCTGGTAAGACTATTGAGCCTCACGCCTAATAATCACAAATAATTTTAACCTTTTTCCACAAAAAAAAACCACAAATAACTTTCTTATAGTGGTATCTATAACAGTTTTTGTTGACTAGTTTTCCATGATTTTCTGTTATATTGAGTTATAGTAAATAAAACGAAAAATCACGCTCTTAACTTGTTTAAAGAAAGGGCAAGGTAATTGAGAATGAACAAATTCGAATTCCGTTCACAACTGAAAATCTTGATCGCTTAAGCCTTAAGTCATTCATATTACTATACGAAACGTAGAAAACTATGCTTAACAATCTGTTACTGCCTTCAGGTGTGTGGTCTCCCAACCCGACCCAAGTATAACCAAACAATAGTTTGTTGATCAAATCAGGACTTCGTAAAAAAATGGATGATCAAATCAGTAGTTTTCAGCCATTAGCACATTTTGGCATTCCTTTCCAACGCGGACACGGAAAAGGACTCTCCGTTATATAAAAAAATGAACCACCTTAAAAAGCCCATCCCGTTCCCTTTAAGGCCTGAGAGCTTATTCGTTATTTGCACAAAGCTGCGCAACGAGCAAATTCCGAAACCCATCCCTGCGAGAGAAACTGCAGAGCGCGCGAACCTACCTCGAGCAACCAAAAGGTTCTCTTTTCTCTACTATCTGACCATGCAACGACCAACGCATTAGGATTTGCTCTTGGTATCATGCAGTTGATTTGAGCTGTCGAATGGAATTATTAGGGTTTTGTTTCTAAAATGCAAAAGGACGAGACTTTCGCCATTCTTTCTACTTCGTCGTAGCCTGAGCTCACCTGGGAACTAATGGGTTCATAGATTAGAAGTTGCCAGTTCGATAATTTGTGTTTACTGGTTGAAATTTGATAACTTGAGCATTAAACCCAATGGCCGAAGTTCGTCCTCCCTAGAAAGCAACTTTCTAGGGTGCGACCGTGCGAGAATGTTTACAAGTATGGGTAGCTCTCTGATTCTTGATAGATTGACTCGGTGGTTTTTGGGGGATGGTGTTTATATTTGGTTGATAGATGGCACTTCAAGATAAACTTGATAAGTTCAAGAAGCAGCAAGAAAATATGCACTCGATGCTGAGCAGCATTACGCAGAAACCAGGGCCTTCTAAACCACTATCAACTTCGAAGTCTGTGCCTTATTCAGCTACACAGCTAGCAGGTGCTAAGGCTCCGGCTCAACCTGTCAAATTCTCGAATGATATGGAGAGGCTTCAGATTATCAATGGCATTCGCAAGGGCCCCGTGGGATCTCAGATCAAGCGTGTTATAGAGCTTTTGAAAGATGTAGCATCTCAATCTCTTGATTGCTTTAGATATTAACTTCTTTCAGGTTTCGTGTGGTTTTAAAGAGTTCGAAAGATCCTTCCTTGTTGTTGTGGCATGTGAACGTTTTTCTCTGTTCTGCAGACAAGGGAAGCCTTCACTTCGGATCAAATAAATGAAGCCACTTATGTGGATGTGAAATCCAATAAGGCTGTCTTTGAGAGTTTGAAGAACAATCTGAAAGTGAACTATGATGGGAGGCACTTCTCCTACAAGGTGACTCAGCACTATGCTTGTGCATGTCTTGATAGATTGTTACAGTTTGGGACCACTGCACTTAAATTCTTGTCCTTGATTCTGTGTTATGTACCTCCATTTTTTTATGTAGAGGATGACATTCTGGTTTTAATTATTATCTATAGGCCAAGCATGACTTGAAGGACAAGAATCAACTACTGCACTTGATACGGAAATTTCCCGAGGGAATTGCTGTCATTGATCTCAAGGATGCATACCCTACTGTGATGGAGGACCTACAGGTGTGTAAATTATGGTTTCAAGGGCCATTCTGTTTCATTATACATCTTTGTCCTTAAATACCCAAAAATTCTGGTTAGCACTTCAATGGTGTTGCACTGCACTTATCTTGATTGTCTTGCTATTTTCTCTCCCTATCGGGCAACCTTCAGGTGAATCAAACTTGTGATTCTGCCCTTGTGAGCACATTTATCTAATCAGTATTGTAGATAATCTATCCACATGGTGATGTCGCATGCCATTATTATGGTGTTACGTACGTCTTTACCGATTAAGTTATTCCACTCCAGGTCCTAAATATTAACTTGAAATGATATTTTTTATAATTGTCTTACTAGGCTCTGAAAGCTGAAGGAAAGATCTGGCTACTATCAAACTTTGACTCCCAGGAGGACATCGCCTATCCTAATGATCCTAGGGTAGTGATTAAGGTTGATGACGACCTTAAACAGCTCTTTAGAGGGATTGAATTGCCTCGTGACATGCTCGACATTGAGAAGGATCTTCAGAAGAATGGGATGAAGCCTGCAACCAACACTGCAAAGAGACGAGCCACAGCTGAGTTTCAAGGCATTTCTAGCAAGCCAAAGATCAAGAAGAAGAAGCATGAGATCAGCATGAGGACTAAGCTCACTAATGCGCATCTTCCCCATCTTTTCCAGGAAAAGCCAGAACTTGAAAACCCTCATGCTGGCCGATCCTAGTCTGTAAATAGCAGAATCTCTGCTAAATGATTCGTGATGTATGTGCGTGTTTGGACATAGCTGGTTCTGCATGTAAATGAGACCACGGCTACCCTTGTGCATCGTATTCGTTAGTGTTTGATATACGAAGTATCAGTGTGTAGTTACTAGTTACAGTGTTTAGCAGAAATAGAAAATCGTTTGCAGACTCCTTCCTGATTCCCTTGTTATTAACTTAGACTGTCCATAGTTTCACATTTGTGCAGGGGTTCGTTGAATGTATGTATTCAGAAGCTTTAAAGACGAAGGAAGTTGTGAAGTCACGAGAGAGTAGTAAGTGATATGATCTGGGCTTGAGCTACAAGTGTGTCTTTAGTCTTTACTAATGTGAGCTACCTGAGCTATTATCTAGATGAATAGCGCTGGGTTCAACTAAGCTAATTCCAGTTAAACTAAGTGACGACAAGTTCACTTGAGTTAATCGAAAATTTCTTTAGTCCTTCTTAGCTATTATGAACTTCTTTGATCATATCTAATTGTTAGCTGAATATGATCTTATTTGACATTTTAATACGATCTTATTCAATTGTCATCTACAAAATTATTTTTAACACGAAAACTTACTGCGAAATTCATGTTGAAGCAAACTCTATTTAGTTTTTGTAGGAAACTTTAACTGTTAGTTATCCAACAAAGCAGGAGAAGAAAAGACGGGAGAAGTCACATGTGAATTGTGATGTGCTATACTTTTTTTTTTAAATAAAATTTCCAGGAAGTAAAGAAAAAAATAAGTGAGCTAAAAAAAAATTATTTTGGGAAACGCTTCACTTCTAACTTCTAAGTTTCTGTTCGTACTTCGTGCGTGGTTCGCACACCTCAACGCCTAGGTGGCGCTCATCGAAGAAGGCTTCGCCTCGGCAGCAGTTTCTTTTTGCTTTCCCTTTTCAGTTATCGGTATTTGTCCGTCGATCGATCGCCTTTCCTCCGTAGAAGTGGGCAAGCAAGCAAATCATGCGAGTTACTTCTGCCGGTTCCGGACATCCCTTTGTTCCCAGGTTCGTTAAAGTTTGCGCCTTTATTCCATTTCTCGCGTTTCCTGATCTCCCCTGCGCATTAGATTGATGCTGGTTTTTGTAGTTATGAAGAATGGCAAAATTTCTTGGTAGAAACCAAGTCATTTGGATCAGGGAAGTTGGGAGTTTGCCCTGGAAATGCACAAGCGCAAATTTATTTATTACGTATTAAGGTGTATGCTCGGTTTCCGATTCTAGGATTAGTTTGATTGACATGATTCGTTTTCTGTTTGCATCATCAGTTAGTTAGGAAAAGTAACTGCATTGTTTTCCTCGCCTGGTCGATTTGTGCTTGGTTATGGAGCACTTGGACTGCATAAAAATGGTTGATAGGAGTTCATTCATTCAATTGCAATGTGGCATACTGAAAGTGCTCTTTGCATAACATACACTCCTAGGATTCGTAAACATGAGATGGTGAAAGCATGAGTTCTGAAATCTGGTGTTTTTATGTGATAAATAAAAATAAGAGGTTCTTTGTTCACCAGTTGATTCTGATTACTTCTTCTAATTCAACTTGAACATCTGTCCCTTGTTGGCTGAAGCTGTTAATCGTTTGTTGGTGTTCGGCGAATTAACATAGTGTTTCATCATTGAGTTTGGCTTTTTGTAGTTTTATTGTTCTTACAGCCATCTTTTCCATGCCCTGCCTTGTTTTTCTAGCCTGATGCTGCTGGTTCGAGTATAAATAGTCTTCTGCCAATATGTCCGTGTTACCAGATCTTTATATCTTGGTATTGCTTTGATTTTTATGAACTTCAATTGCCAGTTTGTTGACAGTCATCTTTCTAATGTTTGTGTTTTATACAATATCTTGGCATAATTAAGCAAATGAAGTGATTGTAGCTTTTCCCTTGATTAAAAGTTGAACAAGTCGCCTTCATGCAAGTTCTTAAATTTTACTGTCTTCGTCTGTCCGATAACTTCTTCTTATTTTCCCTCCTTTTTCCCTGTGGCATTTTATGCTGAACAGCAGACAGCTGATTTAGAAGCTGAGGGAAGAAGAAGAAGCAAGCCGCCATCAGAATGGCTGCTGCATATGAGATAAGTGCATTTCCTGATGACATCAATAATAGTGATACGATGGCTGACTCAAGTAAAACAGACTTGTATGTGGAGATATCGTCAAATGGAGAGGTGGTTGGGATAACTCCAGGGGATATTCTAACTCGAGTAGAATTAGATTTGGCTTATGCTTCCGAGAAGTCCCTTAATTTGAGTCTGTTCACAATGCAAGTGGCTAACAGGGAAGCTGACTTTGAAGCCCTTGTTTCAGCATCAGATGTAGATTTGTTTTCCGATACAGCAGGGAAAGGTCTGGAGTTCGACCTTTTATCTGGGATTTTGGAGTTTTTGGTGTCAGAGCTGGATCAATTCCTGGGGAATTTACAGGCTGATATAGATGAGGTTAGTGGTATATTATATTCATATAAAGATGCGGGGGGCATATCCTTCGTGCTGGAAGAAAAGTTGCAAGATTGCAATGCCTCATTGCAACAGTTGCAAGATCAAGTGTCAGACATTTATGCCCAGTCTTCTGAGTTTAGGAGGACCTTATCATCCGTGCATGGAGAACCAAGTGGTATGCGATTCTTCAGGTTTACTTAATTTCAGTCTTAGTTGTGTTGGTTGCTTTTTCTCTCCATTGCTCCGTCTGTTCAAAAGACGGAAGTTCAGAATGCCATAAAAGTTTGGAGAATCTTTTATGACTGATTCCCAACTTTGTTTGGGCGAGTCAATGATGTGGTTCTGGAAGATTGTATCTAGATAACCTAGGGAACTTAAGGGTCGTTTGGAACCTCTTATGCTGAGTAATTAGAATGCATGTATGTCAGAGAATACATATTTTTTTGACAAAAGAGTTGTTTGAAATCATGGTGTATTATAAGAATAAATATTTCAAAAGTGATGCATTCATAATCTCTTCTAGTTTGCGAGATTCTAAATCCCTCATCGTTTACTATGTTGCTTCTTTATCATACATTACATTCCGAACGATGTATTAAAATAATATAAATTCCTGAAATCTTTATTCTGTAAACCCACAATTTAAGAATCAAATGGTTCCATATGACCCCTTAGCCTTAGCTCACTAATGATGCAATTCTTGCTGATAGGAGGGAATGGAGGGATGTACTCCCTGGAAAATGACCAACCAGCAAACAAAAACTCAATGATTGATATGAAAACAGCAGAACACCAAAGACAGATCCTGAAGATGCTTGAGAAGTCCTTGGCGAGGGAGATGGATCACGAAAAGAAGCTGGCCGAGTCAACTCAACTCGAAGAAGAACTAAGACATAGGCTACAGTCAGCAGAGGAAGATGCATATTTTATGGATGAAGAAGTAATTGATGTTTGGGAAAGGTGTTTTGCAGCAGAAAATACTGCCGAGATTCTGATGGGAACTTCGAAAGAGCTATTGGGTCAACTTCAAGTATTACAGTTCAACTTGACGTGTACGAGCCAGAGAGAAGCTTATCTGAAATCGAGGCTTAAAGAATCTTCAGATCAAGTGGACGCAAAAGAAACTGCTTTGCAGAAGTTCAATAGCAGTAGTTCAAAGCTGAATGACTTCCTTCTAGCTCAAACTGATAGTTTGAAAGCCAAATTGGCCGAAGCTGAGGACAAATTAGTCCTTGCTAATTCAGAAGCCTTCACTTTAAGTGAGAAGGTCTGTTTGCTCGAAAAGCAGCTGAAAGAATCTGAGTTTCAGGAGGATCATAGCATTTTGGATTCTGAAATCACACGACTGGTTAGTGAAAATGAGGATTTGAAGGTAAAACTATCGAAAGCAGAAAGTAAAGCTGAAAGTGAAGAAAGAAAGTGCCAGCTACTGACAGAAACGAACATGGAACTCAATGAAGAAATTGAGATTCTTAAACTCAAGTCTGAGAAGGTAGGTGGTTTAGAGAAGCAGTTGAAAGATTATGAAATCAGAATCCAACATGCTGCTGTATCTGCTGAAGCTAGTCAAGAGAAGCAAACCATGTTGTACTCTACCATAGGAGACATGGAGAATCTCATTGACGATCTCAAGTTGAAAGTTTGCAAAGCTGAAGGACATGCAGACAGTGCAGAGGATAAATGCATCATACTGTCAGAGTCTAATGCAGAGTTAAATGAGGAACTCGGGTTTTTGAGGGGTAGACTTGAACGTCTGGAAGCTTACTTGAATCGATGTGAGGAGACAAAATTAGTTGCTGCAAAGGGCATTAGCTTTCAGAGTAAAGTGATGACTGATTTGGTGATGCAATTAGCTATTGAAAGAGAACGTCTAAGGAAGCAGGTTAGTATTTACAATTCCTGGATGCTCTCTCTTTTAGGTCTTTACTGACTGGTTAATTTTGTTGATCCCTGATGACATGATCTTTGTTGTGGTTTGCAGCTTTCATCTCTAGCATCAGAGAATAAAACCTTGTTAACGCAGCAACAGCAGACAGAAGATGAAAAGCATTTAGCTACTGATAAAGAGGAATCTGATATCCTGGCTGGTGGTTCAAAGTCAAAGGTAAGTAGGAGTGAGTAGCTATTAGCCTTTTACGACCTAAGTTTGCTTGTATTTGAAGAGAGAAGACCAGTTCTTACTGCAATTCCCATCTTCTCTTGCTGCTGCTAACACACAATCATTTGCGATTTGTGTTCATGATAACTGAACCAATAATGATAACTGAACCAAGGATGGTACTAAAACCTTTTAAATACTGAGCATAGATTTTGTATCATGGAATCAGAAATCCATGAGGGTGTCAAATCCATGGATTTGAAAAAGTCACCTCGAGATGAGGGTTTGTCTTTTCTCTTCTCTCTTTTTTGGTTACTTAGCTTCCAACTTCCCATCAACCATTCCCTCATCTATGTTGAGGCCAAATAGGGTCATTTTATTTTACTGTTAGAATGCAATTCACTCGCAGCAAATCCTGTACTGAAATCACACATCCCACTTGACAAAAACTTGAAATCCACCAGTGTCATTATCCATTACTTTTCAAATTCCTGGATTTGTGCAATCCATCACTTTCAGAATTCTGCATTTCTACGACTATCCAAAGTTGTGTTGTTGGAAGTGTTCACCTTTCAATTTTACCAATCCTATAGCTTCTTGAAATTGTCTCCATTTTACCAATATAGATAGCTATTACATCATTGACATGCAAAAGCTGATTTTGCAATCCTATTCCCGCTCTTCCGAGTCATTTTGCCCATAATTCTTCTTTGGCATCATTTAATCTAATCTTCAATGCCGTTTCTGCAGGTGGAGGGTAGTCGGGAAATCATGTTGGATGGTGAGACTAAAGCTGCCGAATCTGAGCTTGGGGCTGTAGTTGATGTGGGATTGTCCAATCGAAAGCAAGTTTTGATGGCAATGGTGGTTGTATTGATTTCAGCAACTTTCTACCTTTTCCAACCCGAGATTCACGAATTCTTCCGAAGATATTAGGGATCTGATTTTAACTGTCCCCGAGGAGGCTAAGGATCAGGTAGCAGCAGCTCCATGTACACAGAGCAGCATCAGCAGCTACTGCAAATTTTTGTGTTCTTGGCATAGTTACATTAGTTAACTTCTAATATCATAAGTGGTTTCTGCAAGTTTTTGTGTTCTTGTACTGAGAGAAACCACTAGTTCTTGCTAAGATTGTCGCATAGTTCATCTGTTATCTCCTTTTTAGCATTCTCATTTCTCCCATTTCAGTTTGCTTCTGAGTCGAATGAAATGCTAGAGCTCTTCTGTGGTTTAAGGATCAGATTATTGACACCTCATTCACAGCAAGTCATAAGTGGAATTCAAATGACATGTCACCAGTCCACTTCATCTCATCAACCAGCAGACTGAGATTTTCGTATATGTTGTCACATCTCAGATGGGACTGGTCTCCACTGACAAATCGATGCACTTCATCTCTAATCTCAATCCAGCTGCAACCTGGTTCCTTCTTAAGCCTATTGGCCTTCATCCTCTTCCTAGCCTCAGAAACCTTGCCCCACATCCCAGCGTCGGCATAAATGTTGCAGAGAAGAATATAAGCAGAAGAGTCATCCGGCTCTAGCTGCAAAATACAACTCGCAGCCTTCTCTGCAATCTCCACATTCCCATCCATCTTGCAAATGCTGAGCAGAGTCCTCCATATAATAGCATCAGCTTCAAACGGCATTCCCTCAATAAGCCTCAGAGCTTCTTCTGTTTTCCCTGATCTCCCTAATAGATCCACCATACATGAATAATGCTCAATTTCAGGTTCCAAACGATGCTCCTTTTGCATAGTGTGAAAATAAGACATTCCTGTGCCGAGAAGTCCCTTATGTGCACACGCACGAAGAACTGAAAGAAAGGTGGCGCGGTTTGGGTTCACTTTCTCAGGTCTCTTCTCCTCAAATACAATCAATGCCTTTTCTCCAAGCCCATGTTGTGAATAACCGCATATCAGACTGTTCCATGCCACGAGGTCCTTCTTTGGTGCTTTCTCGTACATTAGTTCTGAATCTTGAAGTTTACCGCACTTTGAATACATGTCCACCAGTGTACTCGATATGTACACATCGGACTGAAGTTGTTGCTTTATGACCTGAGCATGAATCTGCATTCCTAGACCAACCGTAGCTAAGTTAGCACAGGTGTCAAGAATTGCAGCATATGTGAAGTTGTCAGGCTTTACACCGGCTTCTAGCATGTAAAGGAAGAAGCGTTGAGCATCCTCGCTCTGTTGTAGCAATGAGAATCCTGAAATAATTGCATTCCACGAAACCATCGGTTGTGGGTCACTTCTCTCATGAATTTTCTCGGCCTCCTTCATAGCTCCACATTTACAGTACATGTCAACAAGAGCACCTCCAATGAATGGCTCCAAACCCAATCCGGATTTGATGATTCTTCCATGGATTTCCTTGCCGCTGCCTGCAGATTGCTGGCCTGCACATGCTTTAAGTACACTGCCATAGGTGAATTCATCGGGTTCCATTCCAAACCGAAGCATCAATGAGAAAATCGGAAGTGTGTAATCTTCACAGGCATTCTGCTCATTAGCTGCAATGATGGCGTTCCAGGACACTGCATCCCTGTACATCATCTCATTGAAGACAGAGGTAGCTTCCACTAAAGCTCCACATTTACCATACATGTCAATCATGGCATTCACCACGCAGACATTTGTATAAAAAACAGTCTTGATCGTTAGTGCATGCAGTTGTAGTCCCAAAAACTTCTCTTTGATTGAAGCACAACCACAGAATGCTCCTGATAGAGTTATTTCGTCGAAACCTAAGTTGGACTTCATCAGGTGTCGAAATAACAACATAGCTTCGGAGCCTTCACCGCATCTTGCATACCCAACAATAATGGCATTGTAGGACTGTAGATTATGCTTTCGCATAGAGTTAAATAGCTTATGAGCATCTCCGATGCTTCCAGATTTTGCATACATATCGAGTGTTGCAGTTCCCACTATCACGTCTGATCCAAAATCGGTCTTGATAGCATGACAATGGAATTGAGCTCCTAGATCTGAAGCAGATAGGCCTGCACAGGATCTGAAAATGGTGGCATAGATTGACTGACTGACCCCTACTCCTCCAGTGTTTTGCATCTCATTGAACAGCTCTAACCCCATGAACAATCTATTATTTTGAGTGCAAGCAGCAATCATGGCACTCCATGAAACCCAGTTTTTCTCTGGGATTTCTCGGAACACCGTCAGCGAATCATCCACCCGATTACATTTTCCATACATATCCAGCAGCGCACTGCCAGTGAAAACGTCATTAACGAGCCCCAACCTGATTGCTAACCCATGAAGCTGAACACCCACATAGCAATCTCCTAAACCAGCAGAAGCTTTTAGAGCAACAGCAAAAGTCGTCCTATCAAACTTCACACCTGATCTACCCATCTCAGAGAAAACAGCCATTGCCTTCCCATGCTCTCCATTCTGCAAGAACCCCGAAATAATCGAGTTCCACGATACGGCATCTCTCACAGACATCTCATCAAAGATCTTCCTTGCAATTCCCATTTCACCACAGCCAGCAAACCCAAAAATCACCGCGTTGTAAGAAACCACATCCCTCTGAGTCATTCCGTCGAACACTTTGTTCGCATTGACCAAATTCAAACACTTGACATACATTTGGATCAAACAGTTCGATACAAAAGTCGTCGGCACAAACCCAGAAACAACCATTCGAGCATGGGCTTGTTTGCCCGGGTTCAGGGCTCTTTGAAGCGAGCATTCTTGATAAATGTGGGAAAAAGTTGCGAGCTTGTAGGTCGATTCTGTGGCTCGGTTTGAAGCTGTGGCAGTACTCGAGAAGCACAAGATGGAAATGGGTCTGTAGGGGAGACGAATCTGTGAGGGCTGAAACTGAAAGAAGAGTGTTGCAAATTGTGAAAGGCGCGAGCTTGGTGATCTGCCATGAACCATCGATGGAAGCAGCAAGTCATGCTCTTTTCTTTTGCTTCGCGGGTTCTGTAACTTCTATTCCGCGGTTTGAATTTCAGGTAATTGGAGTAAATTATGATAACTAAAAGATTCATGAGTAGTAGTGGAATTTACCAAGATAAACTCAAATAAATATGAAAAAATGATGATGAAGGGAGCAATGGATAGATAAATTCATGACCGAGGAAGTAATGTTCCCTCACCCCCTCTAAAACCCTAACGGCTGCCCTGTAGTTTGCAGCTTCCGCTGCCCAAAGCCTCTCCACTACACTGATTCTTCGTCCTCTGTTCATCAGCGATCAAAGTCCAAGCTCCAAAATGAGATATTCATGGCGATTGTTGCTTCTCCGCACTTACACTCGCTCATCGCTCCACGTCTCGTCCAATTCTCCCCATCTTCAGCGCCAGGTAAAGGCCTCTTGCTCGCCGTATCTCTCGTCCCTTCGTACGCTCCCCCAGCTATCTCCGTCTCTAAGCCCTCGTCATTTCTCTTCTGAGCCAATGGCTGAGCCAATCAAGGATTCGGATAATCATCATTTGCTTGTCTCAGATGTGTTCACTAAGTTCAGCGACGTCAATGATATAGGCAGAGAGTTGGAACAATCTGGGGTGGTTCTTACTCATGATTTGGTGTTGAGAGTGTTGAAGTCTCTGCAGTCTAATGTCGATGCAGCTAGACGGTTTTTCGGTTGGGTTTCTGAGAAGGATGAACAGAGGTTGAGCTCCAAAGGGTATAACTGGATGCTAGGGATTCTAGGCACGAATGGTTGCACGGTGGAGTTTTGGGATTTGGTTGAAATGATGGCGAAAAGGGGTTATGGTATGTCGAGGGTTACACACGACAGAGTGAAGGATAAATTTGAGAAAGAGGGACTTGATAGTGATCTAAGGAAGTTGAGTGCAGTTTTTGCATCAGGATCTACAGACGATTCGATGGAGAAGCTTGGTGTAAGAATTTCTAGGGTCATAAGAAATAATGTTTGGTCGGAGGATGTCGAAACACAGATAAAGGAATTCTATGTCACATTTTCAACAGATTTGGTGAAGACCGTGGTGGATAGTTTAGCAATGGAACCAAACAAAGCCGTGATATTCTTCAGGTGGATTGATGAGAGTGGGTTGTTTACTCATGATCAGGGGAGTTACAATGCGATAGCCAGAGTTCTGGGGAGGGAGGATTGTATAGATAGGTTCTGTAAGGTTACAGATGAAATGAAGAGCAAGGGGTATGAACTGGAGGACGAGACTTTTGCTAAGGTGTTGGGACGATTTGCCCAAAGAAAACTGCACAGTGAGGTTGTCGACTTGTACGAGTTTGCTATGGCTGGTGCAAACAAGCCTCCATTGTCTTGCTGCGTCTTTATATTGAGAAAAATAGCAGCAGCCAAGCAGCTGGATATGGGTCTATTCTCTAGGGTAATGAAGATCTATACTGGAGCTGGGAATGCATTAACTGACTCTATGCTTGATTCAGTTCTCAAATCTCTAACCAGTGCTGGTAGATTTGAAGAGTGCAACAAAGTCGTGAAAGAAATGAAGGAATATGGATTTACGGCTAGTGGAAATATGCAGGGTAAGATTGCATTCAAACTTGGTAGCTCCCATAAGAAGAACGAAGCAAATGCTTTTCTGGAAGCTTTTGGAAGCTGTATAGAAAAGAAAGCTTGGGTACCACTAATCAAAGGCCACTGTGCATCTGGTGATCTTGAAACAGCATCTGCTTGTTTCCAACAGATGGCTTCGAAACTAGGTATTTGTAATACTGCTAGTTATGCCTTTGAATTGTTGGCATCTGCTTATTGCGGCAAGGACCGAGCAACAGAAGCATGCAGTCTTCTACATCAATGTGTCAAGGAAAACCAATTGAAGCCCTTTCAAACTACTTACAAGCTTCTGATAAGCAAGTCTTTGGTTCAGGAGGGTGGGTTTAAGGATGCTGTGAGTCTTTTGGATTCTATGAGATCCCACAGATTCCCGCCTTTTGTGGATCCATTTATTAGTTACTTATCCAAGAATGGAACAGCTGATGATGGTGTCATATTTTTGAAGTCGATTACTGCTTCTAAGAAATTTCCATCTACTCCTATGGTGCTCCAAGTGTTTGAAGCAATCTTGAAAAGTGGAAGGCGTAGCGCCGCCCAAGATCTCCTCTCAAAATGCCCAGGATATATTCGGGAACATGCTGATGTCTTGAATCTTTTCTCTTCTTCATTTAAACCTGTTCGAGCTCCTGCTGCAGTTCCTGTGTCTGCGTAGCAGGTTAGGCTGCAAAATGTACTTCTCTCTATTGGACTAGATATAGTTCCCATATGTTTACAAGTTGTCTGCTTTCGAAAATTTGACAGCTTATTCGAGCTTTCTCTCTATGGTCTCCATTAAACGCATTTGTTAGAGGTTTACTGAATAACTGTGGTCATGTTTGCTTAAAAAATCAATGCTTCATTTGTGGTATGGGTTTGATTTTTAGTGGTTGATATGGTCAGGCTCTTCATTTTCGAAAAACTTGTACAATGAACTTGCACAATGCAAATTCATATTAATGATGCAGTTTCGAAGGTCTCATCTGTGTGACATTACCAACGGTTTCTCTGCCTGCTGTGATATACATGAATAATGTTAGCCAGTGAACTTTACAGCTAAGGCCTTGTTAGATTGTTTGCTCTCTTTAGTAATGACCCATCTCGTTCTATTTTGAATTCTTTCTTCCTCTCTTCCCCTTTTTGAGTGGCCATTTCTTACACTGTCAATGAGGGCAAAACGTGATGAGTGTGACAAAACAAAAGGACCAGTTTGTCTTTGTCGTAGAAACATAAGCTGAAAAGAGTCAGTTTGATGGTGGGGAGTCCTTTATTTGTATTTTCATCCACTTCTGAGCTGTGAAACTTGGCTGGCTGTGGTGGACCAGTGAATGGAGTTGAGCTTCATCTTCTTAGTTTACAAGATTTAAGGACAAGAAAGGAGCTACCATTACCCATCCTCCGAATTTAGCTCGTCTCGTGCTTAATTGTTTATGCTTCGTAGACGACGTAGTCCAGTTCGTGATTGGATGATTATAGCACCCAAAGGACGCGAGAAAAATGAGTAGTTCTGGTGCGTTTGCATCTAATAGTTATGTTTGTTCCTGCTTCATTCAGCAGTCAACCCAGAGTGCAGCTCAGTATCTGCATTTGGCTGAATGTGTAGAGGAGACTCTGCAGCTTCCATATTTGTTTCTTCTGTTGAAGGTGGGTCTGAGATACTGAGTCGAGGTACCCTTGGTTAGGGAGGGACCTGGAAATAGACCGTCCCCAGTTCCATCTGCTTCTTCCCCTCTATACAAAGTTTAAAAGTAACTTGTCTGTCAATTAAGCAGCTTTACGAAAATTAATAAGCGCATGTAGATAAATTACGAATTAGAACCCTAATTCCTAACCCATCTTGTGAGTTTATGTGCTACATGTTGGGAAGGTGTTAACGCCTAACCACAATCAAAACGAGTACTATCCAAATTTTTGCTTAATTTCATAAATCATTGGGTAAATGACACATTTGGTCACTGAGATTATTAAATTGTGTCATGTTTAGTCACTAGGAAAAATTAATATCAATTTTGGTCACTCGAATTACCGAAACTGGTCAAATTTAGTCACTCTCCCGTCAGTTTCCGTCCAACTCCATTAATGTAGTTGGACGGAAACTTTTGGGAGAGTGACTAAATATGACATGTTTCAGTAATACGAGTGACTAAATGTGACATATTTCAATAATTCGAGTGACCGGAGTTGGATAGAGGCTACAGAAGAGTGACCAAATGTGACCTGTGTCAGTAATTCGAGTGACCAAAATTGATATTAAATTTTTCTAGTGACTAAATATGACACGATTTAGTAATCTCAGTGACCAAATGTGTCATTTACCCATAAATCATCTGAATCGCTATTTGTCGCCCTAAAATTCAAAATTTGTCGCCCTAAAATGCATCAAATGGACACTTATACCCTCCAACCCTAATTTGTAACCAAATTCCTAAACAAAAATCCCGCCAGCCCCCGCCGAGCTACTCTGTCCTGCAGCCGCCGTTGCCGGTGTCGGATTCTTCTTGCCGGTAGCTATCCAACTAAACCCGACTGCCACCGATGCTCTGCTACTACTGTCGGAGTCAATCCCAAGCAGGAGGAACAAGACGAAGAAAAAGAAGGCTGCCGTTCGCCTCCTCTGTTCTGCTGCTGCGGATTCTTAACTCCGGGCCACAGCCCACCTCAACCGGTCCGCGACGCTTCTTCATCGCAATTTCCCAGCATTTGTGTTCCTTATTTTTTCCAGAATTGCACAGGACATGGAAGGTGGAGGTGAAGCGGCGGAGGTAATTCAAAATTTTTAATTTTTTAATGGTTACATTGGGTGTAGTTGTAACTTGTAATTTAATATTTTTATTTTATTTTTCTTATCGAGTAATGTATAGTTGTATGTTTTTATTTAGTGTTTATGTGTTTTGAAAGATAAATATTAAACTAAGGATATTTGGGTCATTTTTATAAAATTTAGGGCGACGAATAAGGTATTTTAGGGCGACAAATAGCAATGCCCTAAATCATTGTATCCCTAGCTAGGCAATGTTGCCTAACGTTTTGCAATAACTAGAAGAACGTATCCTCAAATATTTGGGTAAATACAATTTAATATCCAAACCTTTTATTTTAAATAATATAATAGCCAAATCTTTTCGATAACAATCTAATATCCAAATCGTCAACTTTTCGTCCGTTTGACCGTTAGTTGACACTTAAAAAAGCCATGTTTAGGGAAAATTGTCACAATACAGCTTTGTTTTCTTGTTTTGGCATAGTAGATCACTGAATATTTAGATATTCTATACCATCATGGTGGAGTCATGGACATCTCGGGTTTGGAACCACGATAAGTTGGTGGTTTTTCAGAGAAGATATCGATAGATATTGATGAAGTGTCGTACTTCAAACTTGATGAAGTGTCAACAAACAGTCAAACGAATGGAAAGTTGACGATTTGGATATTAGATTGTTT